TTTCAATATTCAATAGTTCAAATGATGAAATAATTGAAAAAACAATTATAATTTTTAATATGATTTAATAATAGATGATGCATCAAACCATTTATGCAATGGTCCATCGCACCACACAAATGTTGTAGGTCTGTAGAAATATAATTTTGTTTATAAAATAAAAATATACCACAATTTGTAAATTTATTGTGCAGATCCAGTTGTTGCAGTGCCATGCAATTTACAGCAAGAGCTATCTTTATTAGATAATCAAGTTTCTAATATAGAAATGGATGTGATTGATATTACAAAGCGCACATGCACTATTACAATCAATGCCAATAATCATACAGTCGTGTTACAGGTAATGATATTCATTAAATTAATATTTATAAATTTGTTTATACTGCTTTTAATTTTTATGTTATGTACATTTGTTAATATGTGATAATTTTATATTTTAGATAAGTTTTCCAAATAAATATCCATCTCCTGGTTTTCCACCTGTATTTCATTTTGGTCTTGGAACTTCTTTGGATAGCGTGCAATCAGTGACCTTAATGCGATTGTTGAAAGCTACTGCAAATGACAGAACCAAAAAAGCCCGACCTTGCATGGAAGCTTGTTTGAGACGGCTTGTCCTTGCTTTGGAGGTAAATATTCAAATATATTTTTTTCTATTATAAATATAATATTTTTTCTATGTGTGGAACATAGGAACTTGTTCTTTTCTTTCAATATATTTGATATCTTATTCTTGTTTATTTTTAGAGATCCAACGACACATTAGAATCCCGGACACGATTCAAAATTCCAAAACCGGAACCAGAGTTGTATATAGGGCTCCACGACGCGAGAGTTCCATTTCCTAGAACTTCGGGGGCAAAATGGGGTCATATTGGATTCCTAGTTGTTTTTGGTAGACCACCAAATGCTAGACGCCAATCAATTAAAAATGAGAGTTATACCCCAAGGTCCTTATCAGCTCTCGGCGGTCCGCACGGAACTATGGTTTATAATGGTAGACATTCAAACAGAAGTACTTTAAGCATATCATCATTCTATTTCCAAGATCATTTGGTAAGATGTTTTTTTTTTATTATCCTTATGTTTCAATTGGTTTCTAATGCATATATGTTTTTTCTCAGAAAAATTCTAAACGCACAAGAACTCGAACTATATCCGCTCCAGGAACAGGAGTAATATCAGTCATTACTCCGAAACCAATTAGGCATATGGTGACCGTTTATGATGCCAATACGCTCTTTTTTATTAATAAGAGACTGGCCGAATCTTATATTATCAAGTCACGGAGTTTGGCAGGTTCGATATTGATATGTTTTGGCGGTTAATGATTTTTTTAATATTTTTTTTATTCAGCAATGTGCGCGCATAATGCTGCCATGGCTTTGGAATGTGGCAGAACTGATTTGCATAGAACATGGACTCTGGCTGGACTAATGGGTGAAGTACCTACGAGCAATTCTGGTTATGCTGATTCTGAAGATGATGTTCCGTGGCCTTACCATCCGTTTGGGAGTAGTATGCTACATTCTTTGTAAGTATAATGCAATGCGAATTTTATCAGTATTTACACGTCGAAAAAACATAAAATTATAGTAAATCGGATTTACTGGCGAAATCATAATCTTCTTCTTCGAGAAGTTATAATAATAATAAAATTATTAAATGAGAACTAAATATTTTTATATTAGAAATAACAAGCGACTTTAGAGTAATTAAATTTATTGGAAGTTAATTATAAATAATTTATGTTTTTTTTGCAGAATAACCCATTATGCAAAAATTGGCGACGTACAAACTGCAGCAATGTTGTGTTGTGCGTTCGATAAATCTTCGGAAACTTCTAAATGTTTCCGACAAAATTCAGGAAGTAAATCAGTCAATCATAGCGTGAGTACTAATTACATTTACCTAGCACAATTATTTCAATACAAACCTACAATTAATCACATAATTACACTCACAGTTCCATGTTTTTTTATTATTGCGAGACACATTTTTAAATGCATTTGAATGGAAAGTTAAAGCCTCGCAAAAGGTGTTTGTTTGTATTTATGAAGCATGCTGTTTATATTTTTATATTTAGAATAGAACAAATGCACTGGGATGTGGCTGTTTTAATAAATTCATTTTTGCGCAACCGTTTGATATAATTTTTTTAAAAGCACGCATGAAAACATAATGCTTCTCATTATTTTATATTTTATTCTAAATTTATTTGAATACTGCAAGACGTAAAATCATAGACGTACATGTAAAATACATAAATATATAATGGAAACAGTCGTCGCTACTCAAAAAAAAAAGTCCTAAACTTTATTATTGGGATCACTTATCATAATGTTTGCACAAGCTTTCAAAAAATTACCATAAGTAAATTAAATATTAATATCTATATGATATTAAAATCTCTAGTTATGATAATTAAATAATTGAACTTGATACACCATTAAAAATACTAAAAACTAAAGAATAATGAAAGTTGAAATGAGAATTATTTCATAAACACACTGCACGCACTTACTCACATAACATACATTTATATACATGAATTTATATTTTACTTTATTTGTTCATTTAGTGTTAATTATTCTTTTTAACTTTATTGTAGCATCTAGCTTCTGGGAAATGGCTCAAGGTAATGTAATGATTAATTTACGCATACGTTTATTTTTTAAACTTAATTTTACAAATAAAATAAAAATAATATTAATATTTTAATGAAGGTAATTGCAAACTGAAGTAAAATAGATAATTGTAAACTTTGGTTTTTGTTTATCATTATACTCTAACTAATACTTTGCATACATTGCTTACTTACATGCACACACTCCAATCACAAATTTACTAACTTGCATTCATATTAGCTTTATTTGTAATAATATGTATAGTAACCCTTATTTTAAATATTTCGTAGATATTTTTATATTAACATGTGCATTATGTTTTATTGTTTTCATATTTACTTATGCAAGCGTTGTGTAATAATCATGTTTTATTTAATATTTGAGTAATACGTAAAAATATTCAAAAAATACTTTTTTCTGTTATAGCACTCTAGTTTATAGTTACAAATAATTAATTAACAAAAATTAATTTGTAATAGTAACATGTAATATTTTTTTTTTCTATGCTGTATTTGATCGAATAGAGAAACGAAACTTATAAGTACTACTGTAGTAATATAATTAATTAAATAATTAACTAATTTTGTACTGTTAAATTTACATAGTTTAATTGATGTTTATATGATTGATTGGGAGAAATTTATTTGATAATTTTTGTATCATAAACAGAAAAGTATTTAACAGGTATTAACAAATACACAAGTATTTCCGTTCTCATAAAACTAAGTATAAGATTCCTGAATTTGATAATGTGTAAATGCACATCTCTATACTAACTTTTTAAAAACTTACAGCCAGGTGGTTCACCTTATCATACAATTCATCCTATAGACACAAAAGTGGAAGGTTGGAATATTCCAACTTTTAAACAACATAGAAGTAATTCTTGGAGTGATTCGATGGATGAATGTCGGATTGAGAGCGAAATAGTGAGACCTGTTACAATGTTGAATCATAAACATGTACATTTATATGATGAATATAAAAAAGCCTATGCTGAAATTTTATATAGATGGAAGTTATTGATAACCAGAACTGAGGTAAGGAATTAAAGAAATACTATTACTGAATGAAGGTGATAGTCTTGATTTTTTTAGTGTAAAATTATCATTACTATGTTTCAGATAATAAAGTCAACTTCAACGAATTTAGATATTCATCATAGAGGTGTTGAATTTTTAGCCGAGTGTAGCCTTTGCGGCAGGTCTGCAAGAGGTCCTCAATGTCCAGTTTGCAGACGCACGGCTCTGCATTGTTCTGTGTGCAGATTGGCTGTTAAAGGTCAGTGAATTTTTTTTATGAAAAACACATGTACTTATACAAATAACAATTAAAAAAATGAAATGTGTAATTTAAAAAAAAAATTAATTTCTGGACACTTCAATCCTTTGCGGAAAATGATTTGCTAAAATGGTTTGCGTATCATTTTTGTCATTATTTTTCGAAATTTATTCCAGGTTCAACAAGCTGTTGCTTACAATGTGGTCACGGAGGTCACACGATTCATTTACAAGAATGGTTCAAAGTGAGTACCCATAAAACAATTTTAATGCAATCCAATGCAATATATTTATTTTATATAATATTCATTTACAATTTTTGCTTAAATGTAAATTTTTCTTATATATTTTTATTACATCACTCAAATTTTCACAGACACAAATAATTTGTCCAACGGGATGCGGTTGTAACTGTTTGGAAGAAAGCAATGATATATTTGATACATGATTATAATATTTTTATATTTCAAAATGACTATATAAGTGTGATAAATAATAGAGCTATAATACTATAATAGGAATAATGTTATGTACTGAATTTAAAAATATATAATCTATGTTTCTATGATAAAGTTGAAATTATTCAAAGAAGAAAGAAAACTCGTAAATTGTTACTTGAAATCGGAGATTTTTAATTTTGTATGGGGTTTTATTTTCATTGGTGCGTGGGTTAATTTAATGTATTTAACCTTTTATCATCGTAAATATATCAAATCGTTTGTTGCATAATAAACTACATAAATTTTTCCTGAATATATACTTATCTAAATTAGTATTAAAAACAATTGTTTATCATAAATTATCATATGATTTTTAGACTGGTATATATCAATGGTATATTTCTATGAGAATCTTAAGTATACTTATTTATATAATAATTAATTGTTTTTCATGGACATGATTTATGTTTTATGCATATAATGAATGACAGGCATATCTGAATATTATTTTTATTTTTTTAAACTTTTTTTTCAAATATTATTATCTAACAAACGGCAAGAATGATGAATTTATTAAAGAAAATTATAAATTCTTATCTTATCGACTTATTTTTCTAAATTAAAGCATATTTATATTCTCGATCTTACTTCGTTTAAATTCGTTTTGAACACTATATTTTTATTAGTGACAATAATTGCACTTTGCATGACACTTTTTACCATTAATGCCACATCGGCATCCCGCTGAGGTATCACCTTTCCCATTGGGGCCCCACCTGGGCCCTCTGGTGACCCAACAAATCTCAGTCTTGCACATTGAGCAACGAAGCCAATCGCATCCCCATTTCTTCATTAAAATCACTTGACATGTTGGGCAAGTCATGGCTTCACCTTTGTCTACAAGATCTTTTAACATATCTTTGGTTCTCTTAGCGTCTGCGTTTGTTTCTGAATCTTGCTTCATTTTTTCTTGGTACTGTCTGCAGTCGAGATTAGTATGGATTGCCTAGAAATAAATAATTTTGTCAATTAATCAATTTAAATTTGATTATTTTAATTATATACCTGACAGGTCAAGCAATTCGAATGTGAGCAGACAGGACAATGGAATAAATTCACGTTATCCTCGAATATGCACCATCCTAAACAATTAGGAGTCTTGCAATGAAATGCATTTTTGATTTTATTCTCAGCTTGAGCTATGGACTTTGCTAAATGCTGTTCATAAATTTCTTTGCTAACTAAAGCCTTAATTTCTCGTTCTTGAAGAACATAATTGCAAGTGTATTGATCGTTCCTAAATGGACATTTCACTTCTGGTTCTTCCGAATATTTTATAGTATTCGTCAAACATTCACGGCAAAAAGTGTGCAAACATTCACGCAAAACAACACCTTCGCCAACTACAAAGTTGTCGAAACAAACGCTGCATGCAAATGGTTCTAGATTTGAAACGATATCCTTGGAGTCTAAATTTAGTAATTGCATGTAATGCTCATCTTTCAAACTTTCGAGCTGCTTTTTTTGTTCAACAGTAGGTTTCTCAGAATTGCAAACAGTACAATTTTCGTTCAAATTGTAATTATTCACAGTGCATGTCGTGCAAGTCCAATCTAATTTTTGTTTATTTTGTATGTCGGCTACTTCATCAGTCAAGCCATTACAAGAGTATTCGCTTATATCGAAACAGTCGGTATCGTTAAGCGAAAACTCACTTCCAGAAATACTTCGACTATCCATTTCTTTAATATCACTTAAATTGGAATAATTGCGCTTTATATCTGGAATCAGGCTTGGACCACTAACAATAATTTTGTTGTCTTTGCTTGGACCTTCTTTGTCATCTTCTGAAAAAATTAAATATACAGATCAAATTAGATATAATTATATTCGTAAATCACATAATTACATAATCATTTTATTATTTACCTGGTGCAACTAAATACAAATAAATTGGAGCTGAACTTTCTCTTATTCCATATTCTTCTAAGGTCCTTGAATCATCAGTAGCTAATTGATTTCCAAGAATCCATCGTTGGATAGCAATTGGTATTTCAAAATCGTGCAATATTTTGCGCTTTAGACCCAATAAAGTCATACACTTTGGTATTTGTAGCAAAATCGGGCCTTGGTGCGAAAGTTTGTCTTCCACATATAAGTCCAAACTGTAAAAGATTAAATGATTAACAACTTAACTAATAATGTTATGTATCTTAGTTTTTATTCTCATTATTTTTAACTTACGTTACAATAACTGGACCACCACCTTTAGGGGAAGAATTTTGATTCTGTTGTCTGATAACAGAACAATTTACTTTTAAGTTTGCCAAATCTTTAGCAAGTCTAGCCGCGTCCATTTGGCGTCCATCAGCAATCGCATTTTCTAAACTTTTTAACAATTTATTAATTTCTACAGTATTATTATTATTATTTGCTGTATCTCGATTCTTCATTATACTTTTTGGAATTCTTAGATCTTCTGTTAAAACATCATAATCGCTAGTGTGAATGTGTCCTTTTTCTGCACTTGCTACTTTAGATTGACTCATATAAGGATTTTTGGGTTTTTGATAAATTGGATTTATTTTAGCATTATTCATGCTCACAAAATCACGAGCTTGTATTAATTCGTATGTTCTATTTCTAATTTTTAGTTCTGGTGCTTGATAATTTTCTGGCATAATAGGTAATATGGTTTCAATGATTGTTGGCGGTTTGTTAGTCGGCTCGAGTTTTCTTATGACACCACTTGTTTGACATGAACTAGACACTTTCAGTGGTTTATTTGCATTTTCATTCCGAACTTTGATATCATCAAATTCTGTATGAGTCGTCACGACATAGACAGACATTTCAGGCTCCTTCGCAGTTTCAGGTTCATTGAACACCTGAGTTTTTTTAATAGCACCAAATTTATTGGTATCATCTTTAGGGAAATTCTTTGCATCATCTTTGAAGTTTTGAGGTGTGTGTACAATATGCTCAGGCTTATTAATAATTTTAGGCTCCGGGGTAACAGGTTTCCGTGGAGGAATATGTTGTTTCGGCAAAGAATTTTTCATTTCTCTCAAGCGTTCAAATAATCTGCTTTGTTCTAACTCATTTTCATCACGATTAGGAATGGGAGCAATATCATCAAGATTAGCGCTAAAGCGTTCTAATCTGATTTTACGTACTTCTTCCATGTTAGGCTTTACAAATGTTTTGTTTAATGAACTATCATTATTGAATTCCATGTTTGGTTTAATAAACATTTTATTAGCTGCATTATCATTTATAGGTTTAAATTCTTTATTAGTTGAAATGTTTAAGTTGTTTACATCCATTTTTTTGGTTTCGTGCAATTGATATACTTCTTTATTCTTGTTCAATACATTTTTATTTACATTTTCATTTATTGGTTTAAATATTGATCTGTCAGATGATGATTTTTTCAAATCACACAAAGAGTTTCGAGTTTTTGTTGGAAAGTATTTTTTGAGTTCTTTTTCCCAATCACCTAATGTCCGTTTCCTACTTTTGGGGGAATCTGTAATTTTTGCGTTCAATTTGCCATCATTTATATTATCTTTCGATACATTGCAACTCGTGCAGGTCGATTTCCAGTGCGGATTTTGGGCGCTACAGTTTTTACAAGTCCAATTTATAGACGAATTCAAATTGACTGAAGATTGTGACTTCATTGGAAACTTTTTAGGAAATTCATTATCAAGATTGTCATTGATCTCTTGTTTTTCTAACTTAGGGGAATTATTTGTGCAATTCATTGGAATTCCCGAGTTCAACTTTGATTCAATATCATCTATTGAAGTTAAGTTTGAGGCCGGTTTTGTAAATCCAGAAGTGCTGAAGATACTTCTTTTCATTGGCGGTGTTTCAGATTCTTGAGCGGGGCTTGTTTTTGAAGAAGTACCTAATAAATCAGAGTTTTGTAAAAAGTAAGCGGTTGGTGGCTTATTAGCATTTTTTGGAAATAATTTTGCAGATTCTTTTGGATTGAAAAATGCTGAGTTTACAGTAACTTTAGTCACGTTAGTGATAGCGTTGAATTTTGATATTAAGTCTCTTGCTGATTTCGGACCATTTTCCTCTTCTTTTTCTGGAACATGCGGTCTAAGAAAACTTGGAATTTCATCAAACTCGTCATTTTGGCTTTGTTCCCGTTGGCTATTAACAATTGCTGCTGCTTCGCGATCTAATTCGCTTATATTTGCCAACATTGACAAACCAGATTTTCTTTTTTCTGAATCTTTCTTTTTATCATCAGATTTATCATTTATTTTGAAAAGAAACTGAATCTTGGATTGTAATCGCTTGCGGTACTACTTCTACAGTAGTTAACTTCAGGAAAAGCTGCATTTTCTTTATCTTTAGATTTATCTAAAGGTTTATCTTTTTTGAAATCTTTAGAGTTACCACCTGTGCGTTTATACCATGGCCTAGGAGATACTGGCGGTACATCCTTGATTTCTTTTCCTAACGACATGTCTTCTTTAATAACAATGGATTTGCTTGGTTTCAGAACACCTTTTTCAAGTTTCAATGAATCATTAGCTATTGGGTCCTCTTTAGGAATATCACTAGGGTCTTTTGGGTTATCCATATTATTGAAATTATTAGGTTTAGTATCTTCGTTTTTTAGCTCAATTGGTGGCGGAGGTGCTGGTCGCTTTTTGCGGGAAATAGTTGATGATCTCGATTGTGAATTAGTTTGTTTCGAACCGTTATATTTAGGAGGCGGCGGAGCACGTCTTTTACCTTTAACATGAACATAAGCACCAGCTCGTTTATCCTTTGATGAATCACTGGCAGTTCTCCTGTGACCTTTTACAACACTTCCATTTGCACTTGTATTAATGTCACTTACTCTTGTTATTGGTAAACTTAAATCACAATAATTTCTATTATTTTCAGTTTTTATTTTTTTAGGATCACTAAAGTCTATGCAATCGTTTTTCCGTAAAGTATCCGCAGCATACAACCTATATTTTTTACGCAAGGTTAAATTGCGATCCAATTCTTTTAGTCGCTCCCTTTGTCTCAGTCTTTTGCGATAAGTTTCAGTATCAGGTCCAGGAGCTATAAGGGTTTCTGGTTGAGAAGCTGTACCGAAGGGCTTATAAATATTAGGAGGCACGTATGCGAAACTTGTGGCTGTTGCTGTTGAAAATATTGAATTCACACTTTCATTACTAGAAAATAATGGACTCACTGGTCTACTTAAATTTTCGTCTTCACTGTCTGTGTTTAAATCTTTATCATCTTTTTTAAACCAACGGAGGAATGAAAAAAATCCGCTAGATGTTGGTCTTGGTAAACTTCTTCTTCCTAAATTTGGAACTTGATTAGACTCTGTAGATACTTCTTGTGGTTGTGAAGATGGTTCACTGATTGATCGTTGCATTGTCACTTCGCACACATGACTTGGTGTTTTGCATGTGCTCTCCCAAAGAGTAATTCACATGCTTTTGGATTTTGAACATTCTGTGAAAAAAAAATTAATTAAAAAACTGTTTAAAGCATGTCCTATTTCAATAGATTTAAAATTTTTCAAATCGGATCAACCTCGTAGAAAAGTAATATTTTGGCACACATACACACTTTTTCCAATTTTGGTAACAAACTATTCAGAATAAATTGAGAAAATATAAAAGTGTAGTAAATATATACAATTAATTAATTCCTGTTATTTTTTCTAAAAAATACTTACACTATAAATATATTAAAATACATCTCACAACAACTGTTCTATATTTCTAATTTTAGCACCGTGTTTTGAATTTATGTACTATGTAGTTAGCCTTATGTGCCGTTGAATCATGAAAGTCTATAAAAATATTTTTGAGTCATTAACTCTAGACAAAGACTTCAGTACACGAAGTGCTATACGTATATGTTGTCATTAAATTATTTTCTATTTAAAGAGGCGATATCATCCGTCTTAATTTTATTTTCACTAGCAGTTACTTGGATTTTCGTCAAATGACAAGTGCAAAATGGTGCGTCCGTCCGTATGCACATTTTGGTGCATTGCCAGAAATATATTATATCCAGCTTACAGATTTATTGCAATATGGACATTAAGATCAGATTAGAATTACTGGCTTGATTTATATTTTGCTACAAGATGGGTATTGAAGAAAATTATTCAGATTAAAACAATATTTGCATTTATTATAGCTTCGATGTGTTAAGGTATTTTCAAATACCATGTGGTTTCTATTTTACCTCTTTTCTGTATTTAATAACGCGTTTCCTTTAAATCTAGAGGTTACATCAAATTTAAATATATTATAGCAAATAGATTAATCCATAAAATGATAATTATCATTATCCAATTTCATGTTTTATTAATTTCGCGAATATTTTGTTTTTGCCAGAAAATCCAGGTTATTAATATTACGTTTACTCGACGTTTTAAGTCATTCTGGTTTTATTGACACCAAAATTTGAACTTCAGTTGATGTTTCCTTAAAAATAAGTGAATCGATTTCAAAATTTTAAAAGCCATTCGTTAAAACTAGGCAAGATGCAAAAAAAATTGACCACGTTTGGCATCATTGGGGATTGTTCTAATTAATTTTTAATAAAGATTGCCCTGAAAATTTCTAATTTTTTTGTGATTTTGATGATTTTTTTATGATGATAGAAGTTCATGGTCGTAGCAAGCATTATTAACTATTGTGAGCTTATATGAAAAGTAGTTTATTTATCAAGATTTATTAAGATTTGGTTTAATGCTTTATGGCAAAATTTCTAAGTTTTGTCATCACAATTTTCAAAGTTGCTAAATCTCAATTCCTATTGATTAAGTCGATTATATACACATATCGGAAAGTTTTGCAATTTGCCTCCTAAAAGGCAAAGTCAAATTTTCTGCCCCGTTTGTGTTGTTATCTTTTCTACCTTAAATTTATTATAAAAAAATTAAAAAATAATAATATTTGAAAATTAAGTATAGAAATAGCATATTCAGTTTATAATGTCTTCTTAACACTACTTTTGTGGGAGCCTGACCTAAAAATGATTGTTATGAACGTGTGGCCTATAAATACATTCTAAATGATTGGCGCAAATAAATTAGATTTACGAAATAGTTTGTAAACTCCAAATTATTTTGTTATGAAAATCTGTAATAATTAATAATATATATGTAATAACAGTTAAATAATAATATATCCGTGATTTATAATGGGTTATCATCGAACGATATGGAAATTCAGAGTCAACTAGGAAATTTGTGATAGGGTATTAATTGTTTTACTTGCTTTGCTATTTTAATCTAGATAAATTATTTGAAAAATTAGTCATGATTTTACAAACTCCTAAACTATGGCAATAGTTTTAATTCTGATAGCCATAGCATTCTGATTTTTTTTATAAATTTTAAATACAAATGTCGAATAGTAATCGAACAATTATATTCCATAATCCATTGGGATATAATTCTGATACTCAAAAATTCCTATTAAAATAAAAAAATTACAAAGTATTAAATTTTGGTCTATTCTCTTATTATAAGGCAGTTCAAAAAGAAATATAAATATCATTTTTTTTTAGAAAAAAGACAATAGAAGACCAAAGTTTAAAAATTTTGTTAAGACTACATATTTGGGAATTAATCCAACTTTCCTTTCATTATTTAGAGTGCACATGTAAACTTATTTCGTTACCTATTTGGCAAAAATAGATTATATTTTGAAATATATATATATATATATATATATATATATATATATATATATATATATATATATATTGATTTTTCTATTGATACTAATTGTATGTCCAAAAGACCTATTTTTGCTAGCAATATATTTGATTGGCGTATCTATTAAACACGTGTAACATTACCCGAGTACTTTCAGTATTCATAATTACATTCGATTTTTATAAATCTATGAATTTAATACTATTAATAATAGGAAAAAAATAGATTCTTTGGTTTTCAAGTTATACTTCTATATTTGCACACGTATACCTGCGCGAAGGCTTAAGCTGTTATTTGATAGCATCTGCTTTCATATATGATACTAACATCCAAAAAAAAACGAAATTTTGTCACAAGTTACCATTTTAGAACAATTTAACTTTATTATTAATATTTCTGACTCACCACATTTTATCAACCTAATTTCCTGTTTTACTTCACACTAGCACATATTTTTAATCAAAACAACAGATATGGATTCCATGCACTTCTAACACAATTTATTTATTTTATCACTATATTTTGGGTTAAATATCACATTTTTTTTAATTTTTAAAAGGGTGAAGCAACCGTATATGCTTTCGCCACAACTGCGAGATGAATTGGACGAATTCATGCTTGCACGAGGAGTTGGTTGTTCATTCCAAGTTCGCCGGCCGTAGGGCTAAATTTAGCATACTGCCACTAAGTTCTATTCTTACACCAAAACGCCTAATACAATTTCACATAAATTGCCATCAGAAGAAATTTTAATATTCATTATATTTTGACCAATAAAAAACATAAAAACAACTTGACCTGAACTTATAATTAGGTTTAACTATGATTATAATTTGGTGGTTAGCAAATGTAGATATCGTATACATTTGCAATCACAGGTTTTCTACACCAATTATTTTTGGGCGAGTTTCACAGATCATATAAATTGCCATCAGAAGAAATTTTAATATTAATTTTAAGACGTGCATATTTTTTGGACCTTTAGAGAACCGATCTAATTCCCTAGATATGAATCCAACTAGATTCATACTCAAATTCATAATCTTTTTTTATTCAATTTCATTCTGCAATCTGTATAATTGATTACATTTAGCAGAAAATTTTTATTAATTTTAGCAGAGATATGTATATAGTAAAATAGTTGGTCTGATATTAATTAAAATTTGTATCATTAAAAAATATCCAATTATGTAAGTACAAAAATTGGTATTGGTCTTTTGCGCAGATTTTTGAAATTAATATTGAGATATTTTTCAAGACAAGTTTGTTCAAACTCAAAACAAGTAAATTTTTTTGGCAAAGATGTTAATTATTAATTAAAAATTAATTACATTTGCAAAAATCAGTGCAATTACTGATGATACTTTTTATTAATTTCTTCTTTGCTCTTGCTCGAGCAAGAGGTAAACTAGCTGTAAGTGGAATTCTGTCTTAAGGCAATTAAGGCATCGTGCCTTAAGGCAAATTGCTGGAACTTCCCGTACCAAAAATTATTATTTTTTAAAAACGATTAACATTTTTGAAAAAAATTTACTTTGAAAAAATAAGATATTTGAGAGAAACTATAAATTGGACAAAAAAATTACTTTTTTAAAAAAAAAAAAAAAATTTTTTAAAAAAAATTTTTTTTTCATTTTTTTTTTTTTTTTTAAATTTTTTTTTCTTTATTTTGACATATTGTGGAAGATCTGAACTTTTTTTTCAAAGCAATCGTACTGCTTTAACTGCATAGGGACAAAATATAAAGCGCGTAAGCGCCGCGTCGCTGTCTAACGCATAAGCATTGGCACGGAACCCATAGGAATGTTAACAAAATGTATACTGATTGTTAAAATCTCTATAAAATATCTGATAATTTGATGTGCATATGTCTAATGATCATTTCTGACCGCCAGAAGGCTCATTTTTTTTACTTTTTCCTCCATATCTCCGAAACCGCTAGACCTACCTTCATGAAAATTTTATCGATTCTTCATCTTGTCAATACAAGTGAAATGTTTTTTGAATTATTCAATCGAACGCTCCGTTCTCTTAAAAACTGAGTTACCGTGTTCGGCACTTTTTGCCCCGTATCTTTGGAACGGCTAGACCTGCCTACGCCAAAAACTAATCAGCACGTCTCCTTATCAATACGAATCGAATGTTTTTTGAATTATTCAAATCGGTTGATCCGTGTTCCCGAAATCGTCGACGAAAATTTGTATCCGCACATACATACACACACGTACATACATACATACATACACCACACACACACACATTACACACACACACACACCACATACATCCATTTTTTCTAAGGTATGCCAAAATGTTCAGAAACCTCTGAAACGTAAAGATATATTAAAATTTTCATTTTCGATTTTTTTGCGATTACTATAACTTACCCTACGGGAAGTTAACAAGATCTTGTGTAGCTTTTTCTGATAAGTGATATAATCAAAGTCTTTTTACATATCTATTTAATTTTTTTTTATGAAGAACATCATGATATATAAAATAATTTTGTTTTATTAAAATTAAAAGATCAATACAATTTCTACCAATTTCTTTTATTAATGCTCTAGGATACTTCTTAATTAACTGATGCAATTGAAGAAAAGTTCACATATTGTTTTATAAGAACACATATTTATAATCATTTAAAATAATACATTTTGATTAAATTTTAAAAATATAGTTAAGTAAACCATCAAATGGGTCATCATATTTATCTTCAATATAGTTGTCTCCTCTTAAGTATTTTCATGTCTATTTTTGCATTTGTTGTCTGGACTTATAAGCCATGTGTTGGCTTTGAAAAAAAATACAGAAAAGTTCAGAGTTCAGCTATATAAAACTTGCATTGTGGTTTCTGTAAAATATTGTATGATTCAGTAATCTTACATAATTAAATCCTAAAAACAGATGCATTATATAAAAAAAATTGCACTTGATCTATTCGAAATTTAGGAATTTGGATGCTCTCTCCATGTAGATTCCAAATTTTCTGAATTTAAAATTAGAATTAGATTCGAAAAATTAACTTGAAGTAAACTGGTGTTGTTATTGTTGTGCAATCTGTATCTACATACAGTTAATAAATGTATCAGTTTCTGGAACAAAGATTTATAAAATTATTTTGGGTAAGTATGATGTTAGACATAATTATAAAAATATAAGTATTTATTTGATATAGGTCAAATATTATTCAAGACTGTATCCAGCATTCAAAAGATTCATAAGATAGGTTCATGAAATTTAATATTTGCTTGTTATCTTCAAAATCATCTTCATTTTTTTTAGCAAATATGTTTGGTAATATTATGGTATATTAATATTCAATATTACATAGCATGCAAATTTGCAAGAGTAACCTTGCAATCACCTGGTTTTCATTATTTTTAGTATCTGTCCGTT